AAAAAAAAAAAGTTAATTATTAAAAATTGTATTTTTGGACTTTTACAAAAGCTAAATATCTCGAAAGTTCAGGTATTTGTTTGTCTCAAACATAAATTTGTGTAAATTATTTATATTTATATTTCTCGATTGTTTTATATGGTTTTGTGCGAGGGCAGTATTACTATTAATAAAAATGCCGCGTCCTAGAAGATCTAATCTTTCCCGGCGGACCCATAATGCAATTAGGCAACGGAATAGCGCGAGTCAATTATCTGACGAAGAGCGAGAAATCGCCCGAGAAAGGCTCCGCGTTAGTACCCAGGGAAGAAGGGCCTTAATTCGTGCTTCTCAAAGAGAGGCAGCCCGTGAAATGGCAATAAGAAATGGTTCAAGGATTGATTTGAATCGAGCAGCGTTTCGATATGATTGCACCATTGATTACAGCTTGAATCGTTTAGTTTGCATTGGTCCAATGGACGTTGTTTGCTAGCATTGTGGCGCATTGAAGTTTGCTGGTGAAACGCCCGGTTTGTGCTGCCTTAGTGGTAAAGTGACATTGCCATTAGCGGTCACCATAGCCATTGCGTTCCCTGCTTTATGGCGAAACACTAGAATCACGACATTTTCTAGCGAACACTCAAAAATACAATGCCTGTTTCCAAATGACATAATTTGGGGCGGAAAATATTGGAGACGGATATTTAAGGTAATTTACGTTAAAAATTTTATTTTCTATGACTGCCAAAAAAAAATTTTGAATAATGTAGTTTGTTAGATTTCTGTAAATAGTGTTTGTAAATATAACTATAACTATGGCTTTGAATTTAAAGATTCAAGGCCAGATTTGCCATCGCATTGGATCATTGCAACCTATTGAAGATGCACAGCAAAAATTCTTGCAAATATACTTCATGGGCAATATGGAAGAACAACTTGACCGGCGTCAAGAAATGAACACAGCTATGAAAAGAGCAATTCTCCATGATTTGCATGCTTAGAAATTTAAACCAACCAAAACTGTGCAATGGAACGCGTTTGGTGATAAGAAAACTGATGAGCAATGTGATTCACGCGTTGATACTCAAAGGAAAATTTAAAGATGAGGAAGTTCTTATTCCTAGGATTCCGATGAGCTCAACAGATATGCCCTTTGAATTTAAACGAATTCAATTCCCGCTTCGTCTTGCCTTCGCCATGACGATCAACAAGTCACAGGGCCAATCTTTGACTATTTGTGGCCTCAATCTAGAAAATGCGTGTTTTTCTCATGGTCAATTGTACGTGGCATGCTCACGTGTTGGCAAACGATCCGCATTATTTGTTCTTGCACCCGACCAAAAAACGAAGAATGTCGTTTACAACAAGGTGCTTGAATGAAAATCCGATTAATAAATTTATCAGTGTATCCCAGCCTGAACAACATAGCTTTCAACAATTTTTTACCTAGAAATAATATAGAGGGCAATGCAACGTTTGCCGGGCCAGCTAGTACATTGTATATTATTGATCAACTTTTTTCTGCACACATTTAACTTCAACTCGAACTCAATGGGGAAGCAAGTTACAACTTCTCTTTGAGCAGTGTATGGCCCCTGGCTTGTTGTTTGTCGCTTTCTGTTGTTGCCGCCGTCATGTGTGGGAGTCACCACCTGTGCCCGACGACAACAAGCAGCCCCGGTCAGCAGTGAGTGGGCCCCGTTGCCGTTGTCCTAGGACCTCATACATGAGCTCATTGTGCTCTAATTTAAAATTGATTTTTGCCCTCGCACATCTAGAACTTCAATTGGGAAAGTTGTAAAATGTATTTTCCTGCTAGTTGTTGTTGTTGTTGTTGTTGGGATTGACCATTCTTAAGGGACTTGACTAATTGAAGTGGCACAAGGCGCAAGACACGGAGTAGAGGGCGTTCCGAGTGGTGGCAATTAATAAATTTATTTATTTTCCAAAGAGAGACAATGGAAATACGGCGTTGTCATCGGCATCGCTCTGGCTAGCTTATGTATTAATTCAGAGCATTTAAAATGAAGCCATCAGCATGCTAAGAGTGTATACGTGAGAGTGTGTGTGAGTGGGTGGGGGTGGTTGGGTGGCAGCCCAGGCGACATTCGCCATAAGATTAACACAAACAGCCAACGAGAAGAAGAAGAAGAACAAGCGACGACAAAGGCAAACAGCAGCTGGAATTCGTTTGAGGGCACACC